GACCACAGGCGCCCACCACAACGCCCGGCTATTTTTTGGTTGCAGCCATCATTGTTGTTTGGCGGGCCCGGGCTGGATTCGAACCCGCTACCTTGGGTGTACGTGGCTAGCGCCTTAGCCACTTGAGCCACAGGCGCTGAGCCCTGAAATGCTATTCTTAAAGGCCCAGTTCAAATATGAGAGAAGTAGAGAGGGATATGGACAAGGATCTGCCTTTCAGGAGGGACCTGAGTTTGAATTCCAGCTTCACCATTTCCTTGGTTGAGTTATCTCTTTGCATCATGGTTTTCTCACGTTAGAATGGGGACAATAAGAGTACTGTGGGCTGGGTGCAGTGGCTCATGCCTGTATTCCTAGCACTCTGGGAGGCCGAGGCAGGTGGATTGCCTGAGCTCACAGGTTCCAGACCAGCATGAGCCAGAGCGAGACCTCATCTCTTAAAAAAAAAAAAAAATAGCCAAGTGTTGTGCTGGGCTCCTTAGTCCCAGCTCCTTGGGAGGCTGAGAGGCTGAGGCAAGACAATCGCTTGAGCTCAAAAGTCTGAGGTTGCTGTAAGCTATGATGCCACCAAGGCACTGTATCAAGGGTAACAAAGTGAGACTCTGTCTCAAAAAAAAAGAGTACTGTTTCTGACCCAAGGAAGTTTTGTAAGACACAAGTAATAAAACACTTAGGGGCCAGGTCCATAATAGGAGTTTAATCAGCACTAAGCCCTTTCATTTTTCCTGTGTCCAGAAAGCATTCTCTCTCCCCACTCCCTGTAACTATTTCGACAAATAATTTGAACACATACTATGTGGCAGTGAATAAGACTAGGATGAAGCAGTGAACAAGACTCATAAAGTTGCCCTCATGGAGCTGGCATACTAGATAAGAGACAGACAATTAATTAAAATAAGGTGAGCTATGAAGAAAAGAAAACAGGGTTAAGAGACAGAGGGAGGAGAGGCTATTTACACAGGAGGTGCCAGGAAGCGCTCTCTGAGGTAACATTTAAGCTGAATGCTGGCTAGAGCCAGCCATTTGACAATTTGGGGGGAAAGCATTTGGCAGAGGCAAGAATAAGCACAAAGGCACTGAAACAGCAATGAGCTCAAGAAATCAGAACACTAGAGCAGCTGGAGCACAGCAAACAAAGGAGAAAACAGCAGGAGATGAGATCAGGAGGTCAGGCCCTAGATCACAGGGGCTTGCAAGCCACAGTAAGACGCCTGGATTTTATCCTACATGCCACAGAAAGCCACTGGACATAGGAAACATGGGAATAACAAGGTCTGATTAGTGTTTCAAAAAGGGGAGAGAGGTGGGCACGGTGGCTCACGCCTATAATCCTAGCACTGTGAGAGGCCGAGGAGGGTGGATTGCCTAAGCTCACAAGTTCAAGATCAGCCTGAGCCAGAGTGAGACATCATCTCTAGAAATAGCTGAGTATTGTGGTGGGCGCCTATAGTCCCAGCTACTTGGGAGGTGGAGGCAAGAGAAACGCTTGAGCCCAAGAGTTTGAGGTTGCTGTGAGCTATGACGCTATGGCACTCTACTGAGGGTGACAAAGTGTGACTCTGTCTCAAAAAAAAAAGAATGAAAGAAAGAAAGAAAAGGAAAAATGGGGGAGAGAGGACAGTGAAAATACCCAGGTAAGATAGGATAGTGGTTTGTTGAAGGTTAAACATTCCTTTTTCCAGGAAGTCTTCCTTCACTGGCCTTCCTGGGCACCAGTCACCCTGGTCACACTATGCAATAATCTCCTGTCTCTCCCTCTGACCTGGGGCTCCTGCCTCTTTCATTTCAAACCTCCAGCTCTCAGTGTATATGTGGCCCCCTGTGGTTATTCCCTAGAGGTTCCTGTTCCCAAGAGCCCTTAAGTGGGCCAGCGAGGCAGGAAGGGGCCCCCATGACGAGAAGACAGGGCACAGTGCCTGTGAGAGCTGAGGCCTGGCTGTGTTTAGGGGCAGAGGTCCTGCTCTTTTCTTCTCTGGGAAGCAGCTGTCCCCAAAGCTTCCTGGCTCCTAACGCATGGTGGCTCACAGACACCTCGAGAAGCCACTGAAAACTCCATGTGCTCTCCCCAGGAAAATGTCCAGGCTCACCAAACGTTACGGACCATTTCAAAGGGTTCAAAGGCCTCTCCAGATCATCCCTAAACCAGAGTTTAAACTCTGCCTTAAAGCCTTCTTAGTTCCTTTCTCAAACCAAGCCTCATGGTCCTGGCGCAAGCGAGGTGTTGGGAACCCACAGAGAAGACTCAACTCTGGGGTTGGGAGCAGAAGTGAGGTGAGAGGGAAGGACTGAAAGGCCCCTAAGGTGGTTACTGGTTAACAACAATGCTCCAGTGTTGACCTCTTACCCAATTAGGCTCCTATGTATGCTAAGTTTAGCTGCATGTCATTCAACCCTCCCAATACAAGCAGATGTAGGTATACCCATTTCACAGGGGAGGAAACTGAAGTTCAGAGAGGTTGAGCAACTCGCCCAAGGTCACACAGCCAGCTGAGTGGACACACTAAAGGAGTTGTGAAGTCCGCAGAGGTTCATCTAACTCAGGGGGTCTGAAAAGCTTTGTAGAGGAGGAGATGGTTGAGTTGGGCCCTCAGTGATAAACATGCCATCTGCCCACACCCCGTCCAAAAGATGTGAGCACCTGCTGACCAGGCGGGGGCTTGCCCAGCCCTGGGAACCCATTGCTGGAGAGATTTTAGGGGGGTAAGGGGATTTCTCTGCCGTAGGGACTGGGGAGAGGCTGGCCCCGGGGGTAGGGCGAGGGCCGCTGCAGGGCAGCCTCCAGGAGCTGGTCCATCTCGGGTTACCTCTCCTCCTCCTCCTTCTCCTCCTTCGTCTCCTCTCTCCTTGGCTCCGAGCCTTCCCGCAGTGTCCCCGGTGGGGGTGGGAGTCGTGCAAGTCTTGTCGCCCGTGCCCACGAGGTGGACAGCAGGCCGTCCTCCCCGCCTGGGTCCCGCCATCGCCCCCTCCCTCGGCCAGCTGCTCACCTGGCCGCCGCAGCCCCCGCGTTCACCTTGCGCGCGTCCCTGCAGCCGCTCGCCGCGCCGCATCCTCCGAGATGCTCAGACTTAGCTAACCGAGCCCGGCGCTGCCGATCGCCGAGCCCGCCCACAGGAGCGCCAGCCCCGCTTAACTCTTTCTCTTTAGGGGTGGACTCTTCTTTCAGTACCGACCTCCTCTCGCTCAGAGATTGTCGGGGCTAAGAGCGGAACCAAGGCCATCTCAGGCAATGTAAATCCCTTCTGCAGCATCCCTGAAATTGGGGCAGCCAGTCTCTGCTTGCATACCGCATGGGACGGAAAGCTCACTTCCTTATATCTCTGTATCTTTTACGTAAACACACGTACAGCTTGATGTGTATTCTTTATATCTTTCTCAATGCACAGTGACATATACATCTTAACAGAATTGAGATCGTACTGGGCATGTCGTTTCTGTAATTTTTTTCCCTTCACAATATATTCTGGGACATTTTCCACCTAAGTATCTACAGATCTACCTCATTTCTTGTACCCGTTGTTGAGAATTCTCCCATACTGTCAGCTGGCAATTTTTTTTTTTTTTTGAGACAGAGCCCCAGGCTAGAGTGCCATGGTGTCAGCTCACAGCAACCTTAAACTCCTGTGTTTAAGCAATCGTCTTGCCTCAGTCTCCTGAGTAGCGGAGACTACCAGCGCCTGCCA